TGGAGACAGACAGCTTTCCTTCCATCTTGCTCCAAAGAAGTTAGAATAGCAGTCAGGTTTTTAGACACCAAACTGAGGAAGCTGTTCCTTGTGCACAAGGGAATCAGGTTGGTGACTTCGGGGCTGACAGATAAGAATAATGAGAACAAGGAAAAAGAAATGAAAACTGAAAGAGGGTGAGGAAGACAAAAGAAATAAAGGCAAGAGGGAGGGAAAGAGCAGAAGGAAAAGAACAGCAGTTGTTAGAGATGTTAAAAATGAAGAGATGTCGGACTCGGAGTCCTGAACTGGAAGAGTGAACTCACTTCTCCAGTCTTCTCTTAAAACATTAAAAGACTTGGGCGAAGCAGAAGAGGCAGAACCTGAAGCTGTCTTTCCCATTCCCAGAGTCTTTCCCCACCTCTGCCTTGGAACATGTCGACTCTGATTTGAGAACCCTGACTCCACATGTAACCAGGACTCACACAGGGCTTCACACTGTGGGGACTGCACAAACACTCCCTGTCACTCACCCTGGCCGCAGGGACTGGCACGCTGGGCACAGAGTTAGCACAAAGGTTCTTTCAGGTCCCCGAGTAGACCTCAAGCAGCCAAAGTCAAGGACAAGGGCAGCAGCCCTGGTCTGGAGCCTGGCCAAGATCTGTCGTTATTTTCAGTGTGGAACTCCTCTTGGCTTCAGAGTTCTTTCTCTGTGGGATTTTCTCCCTAACAGCTGTTGTGTGGGATGCAGGTGGCTGTGGGAGGAGAGGGAGACTTCTAAAAACAAACAGAAGAATGGCTTATAGGCACTCAGTGCTAATGGCATGGGTACTAATCTAACTAGTGGCAGCTAGCTGAGGAGCTGGGGGAAGGAGACAAAAGAAGGAAAAAGAGCCTTTATAGAACTTCCCAGAAGAATCCAAAAAGGGAAAGTCTACAAAATGTCTGGCATAGGAGTTTTTAAAATGTTGGTGAATCCCCCATCATCATCATCACCATCGCCATCATCATCATCATCATCATCTCCTCTCTATCCCTCTCTATTTCTATTCACAGAGGGAATGTTTAAACATGCAAAATGAGATGAAGCAAAAGGGAAAAATACTAAGACAAATGAAAGTGAAAACGATAGGAAAGAGAATGTGCCAATAATTCTATTGCCCACATGCCCAATTGAAGTTATCGTACTTAAATTACTATGGGTATACCTTTTTTTGGAAACTGCTATTTCAACATTCAAGAAATGATACTCGAACAGTGAGGTGGACTTCATCTGCAATATGCATCACACCTACAAAGTAGCGATTAGTATGGAAAGCAGAAAGTAGGGTAAGCAAAGACAAGATAGACATGCAAGGCCTCTACACCTCCGGGGACAAAGAATTGAGATTTACAGATCAGCTGATTGCACTTGAAGACTGCAAGTCCTGGCCTCAGTGACAAAGAAAAGAATGAGAGCTGTATATGGAGTTCAAGGCGAGCCTTGTCTACATGAGATCCCCAAACCTCACGGCCAAAATAAATAAATGGATATTTTCCAAAAGATAACAGGCATTTAGCTATTTTCTTTAAACATTACCTCCCCAAGACTACATTCCAGGGTATTCTGACTTACCTTTTGTAATAACTACCTTGAGGAACCAGGCCTGTTTGATCATGTGCCTTTCACATTGTAGCCCAGTGATTTGCACATAGAGGCACCCTCAGAGGACTCACTGAACAAACAGGAAGGCTATTCCCACCAGCTTCCCAGGAAGCCAGCCAGTGACCTCACTCAAGGCACCCTTTGCTCCAAAGCCAGGTTAGCCTTCAGAGTCCAGATGGGAACTTCATCTGTTCTCAAAGTTACCCAAGGTTCCCCAGTGATATAGTTTTATCTAGTCTAGTAGCACTGACCGATACTCATCCAGCCCTGTCATACTCCATTCTCCTATCCTCACCCTGCACTTTTCAGTCTCTGCCTAAATTGTCTTCTAGTTCCCGGACTCCCCATGCTCCAGCTATGTATTGTTTTCCTGCTTCTCCAAGTAAGAGCAATAAGAGCCCATCCCACAAGTGTGGACACTTGGCTTTGAAACCACCCCCAGTGTGGTATCAGCTGTGTTCTCTGTGATAGTAAAGCTCTTAACCACTGTACATCATCTCGCCATCTTTAAATCCTGGGATCACAATGTCCACTTCACAGAGTCACAAGACAAATGTGAGTCTTTTTTTTTACAGCTGATCTTTTTTTAAATTTTTATTTAAATTAGAAACAAGGTTGCTTCACATATCAATTCCAGGTCCCTCTCCCTTTCCCTCCCCTCCTCCCATGCCCTCCCACCAACCCCTCCAATATCCCCTCATTTTCCCCAGGGAGGGTGAGGCCCTCCATGGGGGTGTCCATAGTCTGTCATTTCATCCAGGGCAGGGTCTAGACCCTCCCCCTGGGAGTCCAGGCTGAGAGCGCATCTCTCATTGTTGGATGGGTGCTCAAAGCCCATTTGTATACCCGGGATAAATACTGATCTACTACCCAAGGCGTAATAGATTACCTAGGCCTCCTCATTGACACCCACGTTCAGGGGGTCTTGATCAGTCCCATGCTGGATTCCCAGCCATCAGTCTGGGATTCAAGAGCTAACCCTTGTCAGGTCAGCTGTTTCTGGGGGTTAAACCAGCCCAGTCTTAACCCCTTTGCTCATCAGTTCTCCCTCTCTGTCACTGGATTCCTTGAGTTCAGCTCAGTGTTTAGCTGAGGGAGTCTGCCTCTGCTTCCAACAGCCATTGAATTAAGGTTCTGTTTCCCAGACTCTCTGGTCATGGGATTGTAGTCTGGCACTCCCCAGATGCAAATGTAAGTCTTATAAAGACAGAAATCATGGGAGGAACACAGTAAGTGTTAGTCTTTCCTCTTCAATATCCTTCAAATTTGTGCACAGTAACAAGAGCTTCCTATCTCCTACACTTGGAGGAGATATGGGGAAACATCTATGTGACAGCGAGAGACTCTCTCTCTGGGTCAACTATGTCTCTCACAGAAGCAGATGGACCAGGAGACCACATGTTCTACACACAGAATCCTGGAGTCATAGAGCGTCATATTTTTATTGCTATGTAACTATGTCTACTATTTCATAGACAAGGAAGTGAGACCTATAAGAAGCTTAGACTGGACTCCTCTCTTCTGCTTTTCACTTTTTACTGTGACAAGAAAACAAGCCGATTACTCACTCCACCAACCAGGGGCACAGGAATGCTCCATGTTGAGACTTCTAGGCTAAAGAACTTTTTCAGAGCATCTGGTCCTTTGCTTTGTTTCCAGACAGAGACATGCATTTTCCTCATGCAATACATACTGGGCTCCCACTTGGTGTTGGGTCTCCACCTACAAGGAGGTTATTGAAATGTGAGCCTGGCCTCACACCTGTGCCCACTGGAGACTGTTTTCATATCCAATGGATGATCCATTCCCAAGAAGGACAACCAAGGACTGTCCCAAGCTGTTTCAAGGTTAGGAATGTAATTTTTGGCCAAATTCCAGTACTCATTATATCCCTTAATTTACACCAATGACTTACATGGGTTCCTCATCATGTCCTTTAATGCTGGGACTGTGGTGGAACTAGATAACACAACAAAAGTAAATGCAGGCACTTTTACCCAGAGGGAAAAAAGTCACCAGGAAGTAGGAAAGGTCTTAAATGAGAAATGAGTAGGTAACTTCCCAAATGCAAGAGTGCTTTTATGCAAGCCGGGCGTTGGTGGCGCACGCCTTTAATCCCAGCACTCGGGAGGCAGAGGCAGGCGGATCTCTGTGAGTTCAAGGCCAGGCTGGACCGACAGCCTCCAAAACAGAGAAACCCTGTCTCGTAAAACCAAAAAAAATTAAAAAATAAAAAATAAAAAAGAGTGCTTTTATGCAATGGGTCACTAGAGTCCTCTGCAAAGTAGACTGCAAGATGGATTTTGGGATCAAGAGACTCATTGTTAAAGATAAACGGAAGAGAAAGTAAAAGTAAGTGATGGAGTCCTCCAGATGCACATGAAAAGCTGATCTCTATGAAAAGAAGAAAAAGGCAGGTTCACAAGATGACTGAGGATAACAGTGATTGTTACCAAGCCTGGAGTTCAAGCCCCCAGAACCTACATAGTGGAAGGTGGGAATCAACCTCCTGCACATGTGTAGCAACACACACGCACACACACACACACACACACACACACACACACACACACACACACACACACACCTGTAATAAAAAGATGACTCGGTAAGTTCAAATGCAGCAACTGTTTATTGAGAGAAAAGACTGCCAGCTGCCAACAGAGCTCAGTCACCAAGTACAGCTACCCAGGCAGTACATGGCTTCTAACTGGCAGCAAATTGATGGAAAGTTCAAACGACATCAGAGCATCATTATCCTAGACTAGCAAAAGAATTCAGAGAAAGGAGGATTTACCATGATGACAGATAGTAGAACTTTTATAGGTGTATGTGGATCAACACAGGTCTTAATATAGCAGATTAATTGTAGGCTTCATGTTTAGTTATTCACTGGTACACTGCCAGGAAGAATCACAGTCTCTGATATTTATGGCTGGACTGGATTGAGGGTGAATTGGTTGATCTTAAGATCTGAACTCTCGGTAAACCAAAACTTTGCCCTGTCCCAGCAAATCACCTTGACTGATCAGCAAGTGAAAAGCATTATAAAGCCCAAGGTTTTACAGGGAGTGGGGAGGAGTTGAGAGGGGGAGAGAGAGAGAATAAATAGAAGATGGACCAACTAGACCTTGAGGCCCTGAGTGTGTGAGCATGGGGTTCCCAATGGTCCTTTCCCCAGAAAACGACCAACTGTTCTCAGGGTTGAAGAGGCTGAAACCTGAGCTCAAACCCTATAGGGGTGCCAGCCTCATCTCTCTCCTACCTGATGATATGTGATGACATGAACAAGTGCCCCACACTGTCTCCATCACCAACTGCCAATAAATAGAACTCTTCAGAAGGGCTGCCTTATAAAAGCTAAATGCTCCAAAGGCTGACCAGGTACTATGGACCCAATCCAGGTCTCTTTTCTAAATGGTATGTAAATGTCCTGAATGGTCAAAATTGAATCAACTCAAGAAGGCAAGCTACCATGAAGTTGAGAAAAATGTAGTTTCTATAAACTTCTAGCTTCTCAAGGCAGAAAATATTCACTCTAAGGAGGTCAGAAAGTAAAACGAGCCTTCTGCCAACCACATCCCAAGTGATGAAGTTCAGAGAAGTCCTTGTCTGCACATCTTCTACCAGTGATTATTGTGAGTCCAATTCTAAAGCACTGTTCTAACCTCAGTTGTGAAGAGATTTAAAGCCACTTTTGTGAGTTTTCTTTGAAGATAGTTCAACAAGAGGTACTGACGATTTATCTCCCACAAGGGCCTTGATTCCCTAAGTACTATACCCTATTTCAAATGCTATGAGGTTGTGATGTGGCCTTTTAAACATGACTTTAGTGGGATTAGATGATTAGCAACACATACCTATGTTCATCGCCACTAAAATCACAGCTTCTGTGTCTGGCTGTGGATGTTCCTGTGACTCTGCATTTCTATCTCTGTAGGGATAGTCCTTACAGCCTCGTTGACCTTAGTCACTGAGGAGTCTGATGATCACCAACTGCATGCCAAGCCCTGTTCACATGTGTGATAAGCATATGACCTGATGTACACCAAACTGTTTCTGTCTTCCATGTTCCTTGATATCTTTTTTCAGTTGATACCTTTCCCTGACCCTGTATATGGGCTCTGATAGGAGTTGTGGCTTTCGTGCTCACTCCTGAAAGGCTGGAGTTATTTGAAAATGAGGCACATTTTCACTCAGTCACAGTGACAGGTAACCAAGGGTGATTATCAAGAGACAGAGTGGGACTGGACTCAGCAAGACTGCCTTTAGTCTGAGCCCTAGTAGAAGCAGTATTGGTCTTAGACACTTTTTGATCTTTGCACTCAGAGTCCTACCTGAAGCTATAGTGTGGGTTTCTAACCATTTGCTCTTCACTGTCAGATGATTTTAATTCTATTCATAGTGGATACATTTCACCAATATCCATCTCCAGAATTGTTTTCACCTTGTAAAACAGAAACAGTATAGCCATCAAACAGTAACTTCCCACTTTTTTTTTCTCCCTAGCTACTAGTCTGTCTCTGTTATTTAATGTTTCCCATGTAGAATTTAAGGCTCTCCACGTGGGTCATCTGGTAGACCCATCTCTCCTTCATTCCCTATTGACCTGGAAAATACAATGCCATTTCTTAACTTCATCCCTAGGTATTGGGTAATACATTTCTGCACATTTTCTATGGAGTTTCTTCTCTCTGCTTAATACAGGACCTGCCCAAGAAGATCCATTGAATCTCAGTGTACAGTAAGTTCTACAGTTACTAACGTTCTCACCTGCCATTATGCCTCCCCTTCACATCCTTAAAGATCTATACTCATCTCCCACACTCTTGATGAGCTAAGAAGTCTCTAGCTCTTTCTGATTGGTAAATGTTCCCTAATTTTTCACATGCCTCTTTTAAGACTATTTTCTCTATGAAAGCCCTGGGGCCCTCACAATTAGTTCTCCCCTAAGTAGTCCCCTGGGACACTTACATACATTTCTTTCTGTATCTTATGGTGACTCCTCCCTACCTATTTGCCTTACCAGCTATTCTTCAAGGATATCACCGAAGTTTTGTCAAGTCATTTGGTCTAGCTCAGTTCATAGACTATCAATTCCCTCACCATATGCTTTATGACAGGCCCTGAGGATACTCTGGTAAACAAAGCAGACAATGTTTTGACTTCATGGCACAGGATAGGACAGACACACTTGGAGTACCTCATCAGTATATCCACTGAGGTCCTTTTGTATGATGTGCCCTACATGGATTCAGTCCCCTAAACCATACAGCGACTCTCTCAGATGCTTAACTGAGACGTCATCTTTCCTTTACATAGACTCCATCATGCTTCCAAATAGCTGCTGTGGATGTTTCTGGAGAATAGTGACTTGTTCCATTCCCATGAACTCCTACATTCAAAGATACTAAGTACTTAATAGGAGGCCTCATAGAAGTCCTAAAAACTCTAGTTTGGGAGGATGGGGTTTCTGGCTCCAGAGGGGTCCCTTCACCCTATTGGCCAACTGAGTACACACTCAACCCAAGGATCCCCAGCAGTACTACAGGATCTCTATAGAGAGAGGCAGAGATGCTCAACATTCATTTTCTTACTATCACTTGTGGGAAGGAATGGCCCACTAAAGCTCTAGATTATGAGACTGTGGTTTTGTTGCACTTCTGAATAAAAGGAAGGGAGGACAATTAAAAATGTCCATCATACCCAAGCACTGGAATTGTGCAATAGATGAACATGGTCATCAAAATCACTTCAGACTCACTGGTGGGTAGCAGTAGTCCCCTGCCAGAATGGGAACCTAAGGCACCAGCCCAGAAAGTCTTTCTACCCAAAGGACAATTCTTACAGTCTGCACAAAAAAGCAAAACATTTTCTCAGTGGGATTTCCTGCTGAGGGAAGCTGCCTCTAAAAACTCCATATTTTGAAATTGTGAAGTGCAACAATCTAAGATCAGATGATGATGATGGTTGCTACATACTTTGATTCAAAGAACCTGTAGTTTTTGTTGTATTTGCTGTAAGATCTGCTCTCTGTAAAAGAGTCTGTTAAATGTGTGTGCCTGATCTCAAAAGGTACAGAGATAGGGAAGACCTCATAGGACAAAAGTTGATGGGCCTGTGTCTAGACTTTAGGGCAACACCATGGAGAAGCACTATTCTCGGGCAGGTGGAACGAGGAGAAAGGAAGGGTTCAGAGTCTGGGTGTGTCTGCAGTCTGTGTCAGATCCATATGGAGGCTGATGGCTGCTGGGAAGAAGGAAGCAGTCATCCTGTGCTTGGCATGGAGCATGAGAACAAAGTCACAGAGCAAGCCTGTCAAAATCTTTGGTTTCCTGGACATCTTCCTAAAACTAAGGTTCATCTGTCCCCAGGAAACCTTTCTGGTAAAGAGGGTGTCGGTGTCACAAAGCAGAGCTGTGAGTCAGCTGAGCTACCAACTTCCTGGAGGCTGTCACTCAGGCCAGGCTGTGCTTAGGCCTCACCAAACTGGCTTTTCCAGAGTCTGAACTTGACCAACCCCTCCAAAATTTCCCTGAAAAATAAAGGTATCAGTTCCTACTCTTCTCGCCTCTCTCCTTCTTTGTTTTATAACAACGACAATGGAGTGTAGAATTAGAAATAAGATATCCAGGGCTAAGTAGAGGTTTCCTGGCTTTATCACCAGAGACAGCAGGAAAGCCACGCCATCCACTACAAAGAGAGTATTGCAAAACATTGGCCAAGATGGATGGAACCAGAGATCATCCTGTAGAGTAAAACAAGCTAAGTCAAAAAAAAGTACCAAGTGTTTTCTCTCATTTGTGGAATTCAGAAAGGAAAAGGGGGACCTAAAAATAAAAGTGAGATTATTCTGGAGGAAGGAGGAGGGGCAGGGATAAGAGAAGGCAATGGGTAGGGGGTGAATATAACCAAAGAACATTATATGCATGTTATGGTTGAGTCTAAAATGTCCCCTGCCCAAAGCTGGTGTTCTGAAAGCACAGTTTTTAGAAGGGCCTTAACTTGCAGAAGTTGTTCTCCAGGGGTGGGCCTTTGAAAGTTATATCCATTCCTAGTTCTTTCCTTGCTTCCTGGTGTGCACCATGTGATGACCTTTGCCTCCTGTTCCTATGGTAATGAGAGGTTCTGCTGGACCAGGCTGGTGGGGTAGAAACTTTCTCAACACTATGGCCACAGACTAAGCCTCCCACTTTGCCTTCCCAGCTATCATGGACTGTGACCCTCTCAAACTGTGAGACAAAATAAATCCTTCCTTCCTTAACTGGTTTCTGTCAGATATTTTGTCACACTGACAAGAAAAGTAACTAATACAGAACATACATGAAAACATCATGAGATCCATGAACACTTAATTTATACTAGTCCACAACTAGGCCAAGATGAGCTGATCCCACAAACACAGATGCATGAGTTAAGCATGGTTCTGCCATGTAAGTCCTCCCTTTGGGACTCACTGCTCCTATGTCATAGTCGCCATCACTTCATACCCACCCTTACACATGCCATGGAGAGTGCCTAGTCTCCAGCAGGAATGCTCCCCTACTTTTTCCTCTCCATCTTGCATCTTCTAAAATCCAGTGTTGATTTCCAACTTGATTCCAGAAGTCCTAACTGTCTTCTACAGTGGTGGATACGAAATCTGACTATAAAACAAAACTCTCTGAGAAACCTTTTATTCTTTTTTTCCTCCATGTGTATTAACTTTAAAATGTAATACTTTTACTATGATATTGTCATACATTCATGTGACATGCTTGGATTATATTCACCCCCTTATTACCCTCTTGTGTCCTCCAGCTTTCCTGGGGGAACCTTGTCAGTGTCTGTCAGCATCCTCTGAAGACTGGTGAAATTTGGGGAGTAACACTAGCTGCCTTCTGCTGCTGCTGTTCTGTGGTGTTCCCACACACCTTCATTAAGGAACCACTGAACTATAAAAGTACTCCATACCCAATGCATATCGCTGTATTGTTTGTCAGTTATTATTGGTCTGCTACAAGTGTTTTTCCCACTGATCCATCCTCACACCTCACACCTCACACCTCACACCAGGGAGAAGACATACGTGGTTCCATACACAAAGTCCTCTGCAGTATGAAGGACACAACGAACACACAATACATCATCGATGCTGCTGCATTATTTGTGAAAAGGACAGGAATGGGTGGCAGGAACATACACTATTGATATTTTCTTTCTTTTGGTATGATTCTATGAGTAGCAAAGCCTACACTTGACTATGAAGATCTAGTTTGAAAGGGAGGAAGTAACTTCAACAGTGCAACATTTAGTTAGGATGCATGAGTGTAAACGGAGGTGGTGCTTTCGCCTCCTCGGCCCCCGGTCCTGAAATAAGCATGCAGAAGCTTAATATTAATTATAAACTGTTTGGCCTATAGCTTGGGCTTATTATAACTACCTCTTACAACTTAAATTAACCCGTTTCTATTAATCTATATTTTGCCACGTGGCGCTGTGGCATTACCTGTTCTCTAGTACATCTTGCTGCTTCAGTGGCTCTCTGGCATCTGCCAGACTCCGCCCTGCTCTTTCCCTGTATTTTCAGTTCACCTTGCCTGCATGGCTCCATTCTGCCTTGCTGTAGGACAAATCAGTTATTTTATTAACCAATGGGAATAAAACATATTCACATATTCCCACAGCACAAGAGGTCTTGCATTCTATGGAAACTCTCAAGTGGAAAAAAAACAATTGGGGGGGGGTTGAAGACAATAGTATCTCAGAAAAGAAAATGGATAAACCCAAGCTGTAGGATAATGGAAAGCTCAGCAGAAAGATTTCTAATGATGAGAATAGCTACCATGTCGTGAGTGTTCACTGCTGTTCACCTGACAGGGATGTAACCATTCCCACCTCAATGATGCAAAGAATGAGTTCCAGCGATGCTGGATTATTTATCCAAGTTCACAAATGACAGAGTCCATAGCTGAAGTTTCTAACCTCTCTATTTCTTGGGGATCATGTGTCTTTCTTTTCTTTGCCCATCTCAAGAAGCCAGCTCCTGCTACTACTTCCTCTCATACCTACCCCTCATCCAGAATAGCTCCCCATCCTTGCAGCTCAAGAGACCCTCATCTTTATGACTTTTAATTTAAAACTGACAGAATTAGATTAGCAAATGAATTGGCTGCTTTGAGTTAGATGTTCATCCAAGATCCAATCAACCATAGTTATGGGTGGGGGTCTCCCAGAACCCTGATTGGTACATACAAACTGGCAGTATGTCCATTATACCAGGACATTACTTGAGATCCCTGAAGCCAAACTTTGCAGTAGACCATGTCAGCCTACCGTTTTTCTCACATGTAGATCCAGGCTAATAATGGTACTCCCCCACATTTCTATTTTGAGTCTTAAAGGAGATAATTTATGTCAAATGCATAGAACAGAATCTGACACAGGAACGTCCGTGGATGGTATTATGATCATTACGCAAGTTGTACTACAGATTGCTTTTCTCTATTTTATCAGTGTGTTATGCCCTTGACTCCCAATTGGCATTGTGGTACTGACCCATCCATTACAGAATGTGTGTTTCAACAACCAACAAACTAAAACAGTTCTGGAAATTCATCCCTAAACGGCACAGCTAGTTACATCCACTAGGCAGGTGACTAGTGCATGACTCTGGTCTGAAATGCTCTAAGTTCTTCCACAGTGGCCCAAAGCAAGACTGAGCTTTCTCTATAGGAAATAAATAACTAAAAATGAGTACTATGGAAGGAAATTGTGTTCACAGAAATGATGAGAGAGAATGTCCTACTACTAAGTCCGCACCTGGAGCCTCATGTTTTCATGTAGCAAGGACACAGCTCATTAATGACCATAAATAACAAACAGCCTAAGCTGTGTATTTTCATGCTGCCAATGGCCACCAAGCCGACCTGAGGAATTTAAATATTTAAGAAGAGTGTGATGAATCCAAGCATGGTTCTTCTAGACTCTACTCAAGCAATGCCTTGTTTGCAATAGGCATTCGAGCTTGTAGGTTTTGGTAAAAAAAAAAAAAATAAGGGAAAACAAATATAAGAGACAGCGTTCCCTGAAACTTTTCATACAAACATGGGATTTCTCAGGTTCTGCTATATGCCACCTTAATCACAACCAGTGGGCTTATGGGTAAAAGCGTTTTCTATGCAAGCCTAACAACCTGAGTTCAGATCTCCAAAACTGTATGAAGACATAGATGTGCTGTAATTCCAGCACTCTTAGAGACAGATAAGAGGCATAGACAGAAGAATTTCCCTGAGAGTCAAAACTTGCATATTCCCCAAAACATACTTAATCATAGCTTTGGGGTTGTATTATTTGTTAATATTTCATAGGAAAATTATCAGGAAGATTTTTTGAATGTGATAAAAAACATTTATACAGTCACACAAATAAAATTACACTTCATCTTTCCTTACCTAATCCTGTTTTTAGGCTCAAACAGATTTCTAGACATAATAATTCTAAATACTATTCCTGGAGGTGCAAGGGCTGGGGAAGGCAGAGAAACACAGAGCAGATCTCCTGCCTCCCACCTCCCAGTGGCCTTCCCAGCTCCCCTTTCTCCCTAGATAACTTTTCATTTGTCCAGAGCTCTGTCCCTGATTTAAGAAGGAACATATTCCTCCACCCACCCCTCTTTGGTGACTTTCCCAAAGAAAGAAACTCTATTTGATCTTCAAGGGGAAATTCTTGCTTTTTCTGGATCTCAGAGTTTCAAGTGTATGGGGAAAAGGTCACCTGTGGTTGCAAGAACAATAGTTCCAGGCACTGAGGAGAAGGGGAAGGTAGATGGTGTGCTTTCCTGGAAACCTTTACCCTGCACGAACCGACCAACTGAGCAGTTGAAATCCACCATGCCAACAAGGTAAGCCTTGATGGCATCACCCAAGTTCCTTGCCTCTTACCAGTGACTTCCACCTCCCAACTACCTAAAATATACACCTGGAGAAAAGGAGCCCATGTCCCAGAAGCACCAAGAAAACTCTAATTTGACAGGCCTTGCTGCCCCTCCCCCATACTCCCACTCACTGCACTAGCTCGTCCTTCCTTTTGTCCAGTCGTACCGTGGCAGGACTGTCCAATCTTCATCCAACCTAAGCATGAGACTCTTCCCTACCCCTTTGAGTTTTTATTTTTAAAGTCTCTTGGGGAAATGGTAAATAAACAAACAAACAAACCTTAAGTAAGTTTGCACACCGTCCTCCTGTTTGTCTTCTGCCACAGGGGCCTCAACCAGGACCTTACCTTTGGGTGAGGCAGGCACCCAACGTTAAATAAGTTTTGAGGGATACCGCTGTTTTTCCCTGACACCCTCTGAGAGAAACACATGGTCCTCTCTCTCTCTGCCTATGCCCTTCCTAAAGCAGTCATTTCAAGAAGTATCTTCTACTCCTTAGTCTTATCCTGAGCTAAGGGGGAGACAGGACTTAGCACATTTGGGACTATTTAGTGAATTAGTGTTTTCCTTCTCACATGATGCAAGATGGTGGAGGGCCCATCTCCTCTTACCCAGGTCTCTGTTACA